AGGCTCCCAAGCCTGGGTTTCACATGCTGCTTTACCACTTATAGGCATGCGACGTACTTCCTTACTCTCCATGCCTCAGTTTCTTCATCTATAAAATGGAAATAATAATACTGCTACCTCACACAATTGTCATGAGGGTTAAAAGAGTCAGCTCACATTAAGCTGTGTGTCCTTGGCACACAGCAAGTGCTCAATAAATGTTAGCAATTATTATTACCATCATGATCCTTAGAAAAAGGTTAAGAACCTGCCGTTGTTCACTTAATTCAACATGTACTCAAGTGTTTTCAATGTGTACAAGAATACACTGGACTAGGTTCTGTAGTGTATACACACACACAAACTACAGAATATATATATATATATATATATATACAGTTACGTATTAATATTACCTTACCAATTAATTAAACTTCATAACAATTTAAAGAAATAACTGTCAGTTATACCTGTCTGACAATGGACTGGGGAGCAGGAGAGCAGAAGCACTGAGCTTATGTCACAGACTCCACCCTACCTCCTCTGTTTACTGACTAGGTAGGGGCTGTAGCCCAGAGACACTGAGCTCAGGTTTCCTAATTCTACTTCAGGATTCGCTCCGTGATTCCACTATTCCAGAAATGGCATTCCTCACTAGGAATATAATAGAGATTTCTGAACTGATGGAGGAGGTTTGAGAGACTTGGTCCTTTCCAGGTCTAACTTTCTGTGATCCTAAAATACCCCTTTGTGGCATGTCTGCATAATAGCTATGAAAACCTACTTAAGAAAGCCACCTGACAATACTCATCCAGTCTCGTCATTTAAAAGACAACTTCCACCAGCATCCATAATAAAATATCTAGTACTTAAAGAGACTTATAGTTTACAAAGCATCCCCACCCCATAAAATAAGTCTAAAAGGCTTCTCTCATGATTAGCTCACTGGCAGGTAAGGCTCAGAGATTAGGTGAATACAAAATCACAGAGCAAATAAGTAATGCAACTCATACTAACTCTTTACACCAAACAAAATGGCCTAAAACTGACTGCTCTAATTGCACACTGCCATAAGGTGTTCCCAACAACTTGTAATGAATCTTGTAATGAATCTAAAAAGCAAAAGCATTTAAAATAGAATAAAGTAATCCCAGTGTTCCTCTGTCTTTTCTCCTCCTAATATACCTAAAAGTATATTAGTATCAATGGCTCATTACAATAAACACAACTTCCATTTAGGTTCCTACCCAAATTATTTTTTAGGGTTTTACATGACCTAAGTCATTAATCTTTCCATAGCCCTAGTTAAGAACTATTATCCTTATTGAATAAACGGGGCACAGAGGAGCTAAGCAAGCTGTCCAAGGTCATGACAACTATTAAGTAACAAGAAAGAGAATCTAAACCTAAGCAACCTGGTCCAGGGTTTGAACTCTATGGCTGTAGTGATTTTCAGATGGGGAGCATTTTCTCTGCACCTTAAAAATCTTGTGGACAAGTTAATATATTGCAGAAAGAGGACTTGGATTTGAATATTGGTCCTGTCACTGAATACTTGTTTTGTCTCATACTGAGTGCCTTTAACTCACTTCCTTGATCCTTTAAAATTTTACTTATTAAAAAATTAGTGCCTATCTCACAGAGTAGCTATAAAAATTATATAAGATTTAAAGTCACTTTGAATTATCTGGTACTCAGTAAACAGCAATAGACTGTACCAACATTAAAAAGTCAAGAAACATACCTGTGTATTAACGAAATAGCAGGCTGTTAACTCAAATGGTTTGCATTTTCATTCTATCCTAGATATTGTCGATTTCATAAAGTTTACTTACACAATGATGTTATTAATAGGAATATGGATCAATTTCACAAAAAAGCCAATGAATCCCATTATAGCAAATCCTATTGCAGTTGCCATGGCAATCTTCTGGAATTCTGGATTTAAAAACACAAAATTTACATTATTTTTTGCATTGTCACTGCAAGTATAGGGGGAAAAAAATTAGCACTGACATAAACTTACTGATGTACATTTCTCCTGATAATAAGTATATAATTTTACATAAAACATGACAGTATTAATAGTAAATAAGGTATTTGACAGATTTTTTAACTTTCATATTTTATCGATATTTAATGATAAAAATAAATTGCATGTTCAGGCTAGTGATTCCATCAACCAACAGTGACATATTTATCTTCCTAGCAAATGACCAGAATACCAAAAAGAAATGAAACATGGACAGAATACACAGTATCTGTCTTAAAAACTTTGTAACATTGCTAAAAGTATTAATTATAAAAGCACAGAACATAACTTTTTATAATAGGTCAACTGTCTTTGATATTATAATGAAGCCAAAAATAAGGCTTGAAAAACCGAACTGGATTGAGCACAGTTTTATGTAAAGGTCCCAGACCCTGGTAATATTTCCATTTAATGTTATTTCCTCAGGGAAGCTCTCCCTGACCTCCTGACTTGGTCAGTCCTCCTATTACATGTTGTCAAATATTCCTCTATTTACCTTCCATAATACTTACCATAACAGTAATTAAAAATTGTAAGTGTCATTATTTATGACTATCTTCTCTCAAAGAATCTAAGGTCCATAAAAGCAAGGACTGCTCCCTATTGTATATTTTTATATATTATGCTATAGATGTATTATAATGCATCATATTATAGTCTCTATTATATTCCCACCTCCTAACTCAGGCAGCAGTCAATAAATGAACAGAAGCAGACAAATTGTGGTACACCTTTTAACACATGAATTGTGATAAATAAGAAGTTAAACTTCCTAGGTTGGCACCAACTATGCTGTTGATTTCACGTTAAGGCCTTTTTTGCTTGGGGGAGGCTTGGGGAGGGAGTGGCACCGCAGGAAGAGCTCCAAAAGATTTTCCAGAGTAGAAATGTGAAAGATACTAAAAACTCTAAAGTCATTAAATACGACTAAGGCAAAAGCAACATGGAAAATAAGGCTGTAACTAATAACCTTATATGATGTGAAAATACATATAAGAGAAAAATTTACGAGGTGTGTAAAAAGTATACAAAATTTAGAAAAAATAACAATGTTAAAAAGCAATAAAGCAAAATAAATCAATAAAAATGTTGATGAAAGAATTGCAGCAATTATTAAACAGGAAGACATTAATGAAATAAAGGGCTTAGAGAATGCAAAGATTTAATTTTTTTCTCTCATTCCAAAGCTATTTATTACCTTTTCTATCCGGTTTGGTGCATCTTTTAACCAGCCGAATTGAGTCCTTCACAAACTGCCGACTTGGCTCAACGAACTGCATTACCTGATCCATGATGCCTATTTAAAAAACAAAAAAGATACTCACTGATGTTATTTATTATAGAGCAAGGACTTGTTGAGTTATATCAAAATGTGAATGAGACCAGCCTGATATGGGTGGGTCGATATCATCTCACAAAAAAAACAACACAGACTCCAAGAGTAAATTGACATTATTTTTTGCAATCTCCAGCCAATCATCAAAACAAAGGCAATAAGAAAACCGCAGGTTTTCCCGTGTTCTTATCACTGACAAAGGACGCAAGCTCTTAACATAAAAGGGCTCTCACTACAAAAAGCCTAATAAGCACTTGACAACAGATCCGCTCCTCACCCACCCTGCAGTCCTCCCGTTGCTCCTGCTGAGGAATCAACAGGGTTGGGACCCAACAAATATTTGCTATATTTTATTTTAAACTCCCCAGACCCCAGTGTCCCGTGCAGTGAATGCCAACTGTGATGCTTCAAGGGCCTAGAGTAGAGGTAAATGTGGACTTCCATCTGACTGTTCCAAACCAAGGCCACACAACATTTTAAGAAAAGAGTTTCTCTGCATGGGGCAGATCATCTGTACAATTTTCAAAACCACAAAAACTGGCTAAACCAAGACCCAGACTCTCAGAAGCTAACCGCTGAAGTCTGAACCTTTAGGTCTGGACACACCTTTTAAGGAAAAGGGCTATATGTATGTTACCGATGGGCTCTCTTGTGGAACCCGTCACACAGTAGAAATGTCATCCAACCTTGGCTCTGACAGTCACTGGTACAACAGCCAATGAATCCGATTCGCTACTTGGACTTTACTGTATTTCAGGTGCTTACAACCGTGGCCAGGCACCCAGATACTCGATAAGCTTTTGTTGAGCTAATGCCCCCCGCAAGAGGTGGTGGTGCAAATCCCTTTGTATGAAATGCAGCCCCGGGTTCCTCACCCAGGAACACTGAAAGGACGTCCGGAATTCTATAAACGTCCCGGGCCAGGTGTGCTGGGCCCCTGCAACACACAGGTAGTAACGCCTGTTTCCTTAATCTTGCACTTAACTCTGTTCTGCAAATCCACTGAACCTAAACTTTACAGATGTCGTGATAAATGAGAAGGGTCCTTTCAGGAAAAAAAAAAAAAATACACAAAAAAACCCGTGCAACACCCGAAACACTGCACACTGAACGTCAGGGGAGGGGATCCAATAACCCACTATGGCCTCCTGATCCAGACTCTAGATCAACCCTTTCACCCTCACAGCACAGGGAAGAGCTCCCCGAGACACGCTCCACACACACGGCCCCAAAGCCAACACCGAAGAGACCCTCCGTGACCACAGCACCGAGACGGCGGAAGCGTTCCCAGCAAGGTGGCCGAGCCCGCGCGGCCGCAAAGCCGGCCCCGAAGGACAGAGGCCCTGGAAGCCCTTCTCCATTGGGTACGCGGGCCGCGGCCCGGGTCTGCTTCCCCCGACGCCGTGCGGGCGGCCGGCGGACGGCCGGCGGACTCGCCCACGTCCGCCACCTCCGCGAGTGACCAAACGGTAGCCCGGAGCCCCCACCAGACGCAGCCTCACCTGCCCGCCGTCCGCTGGCCAAGTCCAAGACACGTAGCACAACAGCCGACACACAGGCGCCGACCGGAACCGGAAACCGCCTACTGCCCGCCCACCCCTCCGTTCATTGGTCCTTCGGGAAGACGTCAGCGCGCAGGCGCAGTCCGACGTGCGTCTCGGCCCCGCTTCCGGAACGGGCTCGCGGAGTGCGAGTCTATGGTGTCGGCGACGGCTTGGGTAGTTCCGTGGAGAGCGTGGGGAGTGGCGTGGGCCCCTGCGCGGCGTGGGCGGGGCTGCGCGGCGTGGGCCCCTCCGCGGCGTGGGCCCCTCCGCGGCGTGGGCGGGGCGTGCTCCCCGCCGCGCTCCTCACCCGAGCTCCCTAGCTGGGTCAACTCTGCTGGACCGGTCCGGACGACAGGCTCTGATAGGCTTCGTCTTGGGCGGTGACCTCTTGACTGCCCGTCCCTTTGTACGTATTTAATTGTAGTCGTCAACAATGAATCTTATACGCAACATAGTGTTTTGTGACCGACATCCCTCGAAACGGTCTCCCACCCGCAAAACCTGGCCTTCCTCTGTGTCCATATTTGGAATTCCCCAGGAATTGAGGCCATGATCTGGGTTTGCCGTGGGGACATGATACAGTGTATACGTTTTATCCGACTATGGGTTTTGCTGAGACTATTATGAACCCAGACATTTGGTGCTAAATGGTGCTGTGATGTTACGTTTTCGGAATGAATCAGTGTGTCCTCGATTATTTATCAAGCACCTAAGGTGTATAACGCTTTACTAGGTGCTATGAATGAGCCAGATATGTCATACCCTCTTATTACGGTCTAGTAAGGGAATTTACAGGGTAGGAAAGGGAACAGACAAGAAAGCAAAATATACGTTAGTAAAAATACTATATGGCAAATAAAAAGTGTGTTGTGAAGAGAGAAAAAAATAAAGGACGGTGGGATAAAGACAGCATTCCTTTGGGTGATCACTGTAGGACTCTAAGGCCACGTCACCTGAGCTAAAGGCCTAGGGGTGAAGACTTATTTAAACACCCCAATCTGTCCAGAATTTTAAAATTCTTAAAACTAAGGCCAAGTACCCATGTGAACTTTACAATACGTATGGACCACCTGCAGTACAGTGTATGAAAACTGTTAAAAACGTAAATTCCTGACCTCTAACCCACTGAATCAGAATATTTAGTCATTTAGGGATTAGAAACCTACATTTTTTTTAAACTTAGCAGGAGCGTTTAGGTACTGAAGATCACAACACTGAGGGTTCTAACCTCTCTCTGAACTCAGCTCTATCAGCTGCTCCTGAGTTACATTTATTCCTCTGGTACCCTTGTCATGCTCCATTGTTAGGCAGAGAGAAGAAGTATGTTTTACAGACCTCTGGGCTTTGGAAAAGTTTTTACTCTGCTTCATTCCCAACACATCCTGTAGTCAAATATTCTGTGCAATAACTATTAACAGGCTCCAGTATTTTGCCTTGACATGGGACAAAAACCCATAATCATATCACATATTTGGAAAACCTAGGTTCTTACCCAGAAAACAAGTGATGTCCATCACCCTGACAATATATATATTACAGCAGACCGCTGAGCTCTGTGGACGCCACATTGAACCATTATGTCCTTGATATTTAGGTGAGACTATATTTGTATATCCACACTTGAGTAATTATAGAGTTTCTCCTTGAGTTCTGAACTTATGGACATAGATATGGAAATGCCAAATGTCATACAAGCAGAGTACAGCCTTTTACCATGGAAGGGGTGCATGGAACTATACTATTGCAACATTCTTATATTTTTCATGAAGTGGTATAGTATTAAGACTATGTTAAGAATGCAACCACTAAAGAAAAAAATTAAAAACTGCAAAGCTATATAGCTGAAAAAACAATCACGTATTAAAATGGCATTCAGAGAAATACGCAATTAACCCAAAACCCAAAAGGAGGAAGGGAGAAAAACAAACAAACAGGAGAACTAAATATAACCACATCTGTAATTTCATTACATCCAAATGTAATTTTTATGTTTAAAAACTCCCCTTAAAAAGCAGATGTCAAAGTGATTGAAAAAAAACAAAGATTTAGCTATATGCTGATTATATAAGTACACTTTAAGTATAAAGACATATAGGTTGCAAGTAAATAGATGGAAATGCAAACAATAAGAAGACGTCAGAATTTGGTACTGGGGTTTGTTTATATCAGATAATATTAGATAATGTAGACTTTAACATAGGAATTACTGGAGATAAAAAGGAAGCATTTTCATAATGATAAAAGGTATATCAATCATAATATCTTCATCAGGAAGGTATATCAATCAAATTTGTGTGCACCTAGTAACTGAGGTTAAAAATACAGGAAACAAAAATTAACAAAAAGACCACTGTACAAACAAGTAGGGGATTTTATGTCTTCGTTCCGCAACTTACAGCATTAGACAAAAAAGTAAATCAACAAAGAAATAGAAGATCTGAACAACATTGTCAACTATCCTGACCTGATTAGTCTACAAGTGGAGCACTACCCCCCAGAACTGCAAATACACATCGTTTTCAAGTGCACATGGTAACTTTACCAAGATAGAACATATACTGGGTCATAAAACAAGTCTTATATTAAAAAAGTTTCAAATCATACATTTTTTTCTGACCATTGTGGAATTAAATTAGAAATCTATAACAACCAGATACTTAGAAAAATCTCCAGGTATTTGGAAATTAAATAACATGCTTCTAAATAAATAATTCAAAGGGTTAAAGCAGAAATCAAGAGGGAAATTGGAAAATTATTTGAACCGAATGATAATGAGAATGTAGTATATCAAACTGCAATATATCACTACACACCCTGAGAATGCTTAAAAAGGTTGACAGCATCAAATCTGGGTATAAATATTAGATCAATCAGAACTGTTATCATTGTCAACAGGAGTGTAAAATGGTACCCAGCAGTTTTATAAAATTAGGTGTATACCACTCTATAATCCCTCAATTTCAATTTTAGGTATTTACTGAAGAGATGAAAATATATTCACCAAAAGACTTGTACAAAGATATAGCCAAAAAACTAAAAGTGAGTCGGGTCCATCAACAAAGAATGGATGAACAAAAAGATGTATTTCCACAATGAAATACTATTCCACAATTAAGAGAAAAAAATATATATATATATTTATGTAACACCATTGATTAATATCAGAAACATTGTGGTGAGTGAAAGAAGTCTATGCAAAAGACCGCACACTGTAAATAATATTTGTAAGAAGTTCCAGACAAGGCAAAATTAATATATGTTGAAAACAGTGTTTGGGCATAGGGATTAAGACGGAGGATGAGAGAACTCAGGCGTGAAAATAATGTAACTTGACAAGGATTAGGGTTACACAGGACTCTTAGTTCAGACTGCTGTAATAAAATACCATCAACTGGATGGCTTAAACAGTAAACAATTATTTCTCACAGTTCTGGAAGATAGAACTTCCAGATCAGGGTGCCAGCGTGGTTGGGTTCTTAGTAGAGAGTGTGGTCCCAGTTTACAGACGGCTGTCTTCATGGCATCTGCACATGGATGCTAATCCCACCATGGGGGCTCCACCCTCATCACCTGATTACTTCCCAAAGTCCCCACCTCCAAGCACCATCACATTAGCACTTCAGCAAATGAATGTGGGGCGTACAGACATTCAGTCATGGCAGCAGGTGTGTGCATTTCTCACACGACATCAAATGGTACTCATAAGGTTTGTATTCTACTTCATGTAAAGTTTACCTCAAAAAATAAAACACCGTACACAAACACTGAACTCTCGCTCTAGTTAAATGATATAACCGCTGACAGGAGTGAAGTGTACAGGTACAAGTATACAGTCATGGAAAGATTCTTAGGTGTAGTAGTATGGCTATTCACTGAACAATTCAACTTTTATGTATGTTTGAATTTTTTCATAATGTGGAAAAGATCTATACGCACATCACTAAATCAAGTTTTTAAAATTTTGTTTTGACATAAATAATGTCGACTATAAATTGTAAGTATACATAGTGGAAATTTTAAATTGCCCCTCAATTTAAAAATATCAGTGAAATATTGATAGTGTTATTTGAGATAAGCTGAATTAATACTCCATTTAGATTCCTGAATCTCTGCTTGAAGTAAGAAAGTTTAAAAACCCTTGTATAGATATAGGATTTTTTTTAAAAACGCCAAGTTTAAATAATACACCCTCCAAGTAGGTTAAGTAATATTTTACCCAGAGTTCTCATCTTTTGTTCCTTAAAGTAGAAAAATATAATCTTTAATTGAAAATGGGATATATGATTTTTTTTTACATTTATTTTACTAACAAGCAAGATCTCTGTGCTTCTCTGAAAGAGAGTTAAAAATTGTACCTCTAGGGCTTCCCTGGTGGCGCTCCGCCTGATGATGTGGGGGACACGGGTTCGTGCCCCGGTCCGGGAGGATCCCACATGCCGCGGAGCGGCTGTGTCCGTGAGCCATGGCCGCTGAGCCTGCGCGTCCAGAGCCTGTGCTCCGCAACAGGAGAGGCCACAACAGTGAGAGGCCCGCGTACCGCAAAAAAAAAAAAAAAAATTGTACCTCTATATCTTCTTTCTATAGGTTTTCAAAATGGGTACAGGTGTACCTCGGAGATATTGTGGGTTCAATTCCAGACCAGTGCTATAAAGCAAATATCACAATAAAGAAAGTCACATGAATTTTTTGGCTTCCCAGTGCATATAAAAGTTATGTTCATACTATAGTATAGTCTGTTGTGTGCAGTAACATTATGCCTAAAAAGTGTACATTACTTAAAAAATGTTTTATTGCTAAAAAGCGCTAATCATTGAGCTTTCAGTGAGTGGTCATGTTTGTGCTGGTGGAGGGTCTTGCCTGGATGTTGGTGGCTGCTGGCTGATCAGGGTGGTGGATGCTGAAAGCTGGGGTGGCCGTGGCCATTTCTCCGTAAAGACAGCAATTAAGTTTGGCACATGAGTTGACTCTTCCTTTCACCTGAACACTTAGAGGCTGTTAATTAGCCCAATTTCAATATTGTTGTGTCTCAGGGAATAGAGAGGCCTGAGGAGAGGGAGAGAGATGGGGGAACAGCTGGTCAGTGGAGCACTCAGGACACACACAACATTTATAAAGTTCTCTGTCTTACATGAGTGTGGTTTGTGGTGCCCCAAAACAATTACAATAGTAACATCAAAGATCACTGGTCACAGATCCTCATAACAAATATAAAAATAATGAAAAAGTTTGAACTATCATGAGAATTATCAAACTGTGTTACAGAGACAGGAAGTGAGCAAATGCTGTTGGAAAAATGGTGCCAGTAGACTTGCCCAACACATGGGTGCCACAAATCTTCAATTTGTAGAAGTGCGGTATCTGCGAAGCACAGTAAAGTGAAGTGCAATAAAATGAGGTATGCCTGCTTTAAAACGTAATTCTGTAATAATTATATTCTCGTTGCAGTAATTGAGCTAGTTCTATATTGGGTTACAAAATAGTAAATATCATACCACAAAATAGTAAATATGTACCACATTGGGTTACATTATAGTAAATATCACAACATCTATGTATTTATATATGTCTAAGGGAAAGCCTTTAAAGATATAGATCTGATATAGATTTGATGACGTTTGCTACTTTAGATTTGATACTGTTTAAATTTTTTTCCATTGACAATTTTTACTAGTTTAAATTTTAAAAAAATTTTTAAGTCCTGTTTTTTTAAGGTAATAAGATATTTGATAAAACAAGAGATAGTAAAACTCCACAGATGACTTAGTTTTCTAAAATAATTGCAAGAGAAAAAGAATCTATGAGTCAAATATATCTAAAAAGCATATTAACTTATGACAGCTTATATTTATCTTGATTCAATAAACAAGCTGCTATTTTATACATACACTAATTATAATATTAAAAATTATTGTTAACAATTTAGGAATGATACTGTTATTGTCCTAAGCTTTAAGGTATGTGAAATAAGACTTGCTAATTGGGGAGTGGAGAGGATAGTCCACCAATTTAGTTGTTTCATAAAGTAGATTCTGCATAATAATTAAGTCTGTGGTTGTGCAGTTTTTGGTTGATGTAGCATTTTAATCCCTCATGTAGAGGCAGATGGGAAAGGTTAAGACAGTGATTGCTACCTAACCCCCTAAGTTATGTGGTACTGCTTCAGAGGGTAGAACCTGTGTAAACATGATGTCAAAATCTAACACTATAGTATGTATTTAGAGCAAATTCCATCCATATTTGGACATATAGCTGTTATCTTAATTTTTTTGGTTGTTGAGTACATCTTTTTTAAGCAGTTGTGATTATATTTTTGAAATAACATTTTTTTTTTTTTTTTTTTTGCGGTACGTGGGCCTCCCACTGCTGTGGCCTCTCCCGTTGCGGAGCACAGGCTCTGGACGCGCAGGCCCAGCGGCCACGGCTCACGGGCCCAGCTGCTCTGCGGCATGCACGATCCTCCTGAACCGGGGCACGAACCCGTGTTCCCTGCATTGGCAGGCGGACTCCCAACCACTGCGCCACTAGGGAAGCCCCTGTAATAACATTTTTATCAAAAATAATACATGCTAATTATTTTTAAAATTCAGACAGTACAGACAAGTACAAAGAAAATGTTAAAAATCAACCACTATCCTTTATCCAGTAAAATGCTTTGTTAACAGATGAACCCCACTCCAGTTCTCTCTCTGCAAACATACAGGTTGAAAGATATCTAGGTAAATAGCTAGAAAAAGTATACAGATATATAATAAAAATATGATCATATTAAAATTATATTTAAAATATTAAGTTTACTTTATCTGAGTTTAACAGAAGAAAAATGAACTGAAATGAAAATGAAGTAATTTCCAATTTTCTGAATGTAAGATGATAAACATTTCTTTACCACATGCTATATTGCTCCTTAATTATAACTCTTAGATTAAGAGAAAACATTAGGTTGGAGTTATTATAAGGTATATATTCTTGAAATGTTTTAATTTTAGTAAAATTGGTGCCATGCTATGATGAGAAATTTAACACACTTCCTCCCTCCTTATTCCTCTCCCCTCCAACTTCTGTTAGTGTATTGGAATAGTCCCTACACAAGGAATTAATCTCTTGGTGAAGCCCACTTTAATTCTTTTAAAACAATAAAGTAAAAATTATAAGAAAAGTAAAAATTGTAAGACCCTCACACTCCTATTAACCATCATACTAGATGTCCTTACTCATGACATAGAAAAGTGGGGGGGGGGGAAGGCATATAGATGGAGAATAAAAAAAACTTGTCTTTTTTCACAGATGACATGATAGTCTATGTAGAAAATCCCAAAAACTCAACAAAAAAATATCCTGGAACTAATAAACAATTATAGCCAGATTACAGGATTACAGGATACCAAGTTAATATACAAAAGTCAATTGCTTTCAAATTGG